TGTGGATGTGTTAAAACTTTTGCATATTGTAAGTATCTGCTAATATTTTTTTAAAGTCTAAGACTATTCCCTTTTGTATTTTCCCTACCCCCAAAAGTTTTCAGCATAACTTAAATGAATTACATGTATATGCTCTCTAATACATGGTTATGTTTTAAAATTCACACATACATCTAAATATACTATAGACATTTTCTAAAATGTACATATCTCATGTATATGTAGATAAGATGATTTCTGAAATATAGAGTCTTTATATCTATATCTCAAAGTTTTCAAACTTTCTATCTTCATAATAGTTTTTAAGATAGATAATATATCTTCTTGGGCATTTGCAGATGATATCTGCTATTAGTAGAATTTTGGATTAGCAATGGATAATGTCATCATCATTGCTCAAACTGTTTTTCTCCTATCTGAATAAGCTCCCAGAAACAGACACTTGAAATAGACATTTTTACAACTAACTTTTTAAAGTTCTATTTTTAATTTTTATAATTGTCAACTTGAACAGACCTGTTGGGAAAAAATTATGATATGTATCTGACCACATATTCATTTTTCTCATGCACTCCTTTGTGCTTGCAAGTTTTTACAAGTTTCATTGCACATTGGCAGTTAACATGCTTTTACTGTTACTTTATTCCAATTATATTTAGGTAAGAGATTAAGACTTTTAAAAAGAGAGGTAAAACAAAAGAAAGGTGTAGAGGAAAAAATTTAAAAGGAAATTGAACAGAAAATTTACTTATGTGGTACAGTTATTAACATCATAAATTAACCTTAATTGCCAAGAAATGGAAGGTTCACAAAAAGATACACCCATTTATGTCCCTGCAAAGATTATCATTTTCAGTTTTTCTTTTAATAGATACATATGAACATGAAAAGTGGGTTACACTTATGGGTAATTCTCATTCACCATATGCTTCCCTTGTGCTCTATACTTAATCCAGTGGAAACATGGAGGCCTAATTCCTATGTGAAAAATCTCTAGCTTTGGAAACATTTTCTAAAAAATTTTGTAACATTACTAATTCATTTTGAGAAAATATTTCCCTTTGAATAGTTTCTCACATTAACTCTTGACTATATTGGTTAAGTTCTCTTTTGTAATTAATTTTTTTTAAATGATGGGACAGTAGTTCATCACTCAAACACATCTGTTGAGTTTCAAGCATATTGTCTTTTTTTGTCTCCCCTCCCCCACCCAAGCATATTGTCTTTTTATATAAATGATATTATGCTTGTTAAATAAGTGACTTTTCAGAACGAACTCCTTGTACATTAGCTGTTTTTCCATGGTATCCCCACCATCTTAGACATGTAACATGTCTGATTACATATGTATGATATAATAGGATTGTTTTATTATATTACTTCTCTGATGGGAGATGGGTTTAGCAAACATCTCTATAAATGTATTTTGTAAATGTCCAAATAGTATGAATTTTAAAAAATATTTTGAAAGGAAATGATCAGAGACTTTGGGTTGTTTTGGACAAAGATGCTAAATAGCTAAATAGTACTAATAATGAAGCACCTTTGCTGAACTAATTTCTTTAGATTAAGACATACATTCCTTTGAAAATTTGAGAGAGACTCAACAAACTCCATAGAGCTAGAGGCAAGGCTACTGGGGCATACAGATGTATATTATTACTGAATATAATGTATGTTTTTTTTGTAATGCATTATAGAAAGGAATAGAAGGCTTCCTCAGTTCTCACATTTTTCCCATTTTAAAATCATTTCATCATGTTTTACTGAATATACCCTGTCTTTTGAGTCTTGTGAACCATTTAGTTATCATTTCTTCTTTGGTCGTAAAGAGTCCTCCTCTAGCTTCCATTGATACGGCTGTTAAACCTTCACTTTTGAGCAACTTCGTTCATGAGAGGACTGTACTTCACTGAATGAAGTTCATTGTGCAGAGCACCTCTGTTTCACTGCTAAGGTGTTTTTCCCACCTTGGTTTGGTATTTCCTTCTCTTTATATGCCTCTGTTTCAGAGCTCTTTTTCCAAGCTTCCATGGACTTGTGGGTCTTCAATGATGTTCATCTGTTCATTTAAGTTAACCAGATCTTCTTTAACTAAATAAATGGCCTTCTACTGAGTGCCTTCTGTGTGCCTTGCAGCATTCTAACTATGTTTCATAAATTATTTATTTTAATCCTTATAACAAGTGTATCAAATAGTTATTATTATTATTATTATTTTAAATGAGGAAAGTAAACTAACTATTAAAAGTAACTCACTACTAAATGGCAAAGCTGGGCTTTGAAATATGATCTGAGTCCTTGTGCTTAGTAATTGTTTAGAAATTGATTAAAAATTGTTACTTGAAATCTCTACTATGCTGAACAGGGTATAGTGTATCTGTAGGAATATTCACTTGCTTTTAGAATTCTTTCAGTTGCCTTGGAAACCAGAGAAATTCTTGTTTTTCATCTTCTAAAGATGAAAATGAAGTTAGATCTCGGTCACTTGAGATATATTGTGATGATTACTTGATAATATTATTAAAGACGGTTGGAAACTTGAGATCAAAGATTGGTTTCAGGCATGTTTTATCCAGTTTTGTATTGATGATTATGCACCATATCAGCAGGTTTGTGTATATATAGAGAGAGGAATAATTTCATTGGGAAAATGTTTTCATTTTAGAAGCAAAGTCAAGTTGTTAATGTGGGGACTTCCCTCCCCCTACTTTTACTTCATAGTTTCACACTCATTTCTGCATATTTATCATAGCTCTTTGACCTCAACAGCTGCTTTGCTTTTGCTTAATATGAGCTGATTCTCAGTGTACTTCATGAGGACAGGGAGTGTTATAGAGCTCCCCGTATTTCCATATGTCCATCTGGTCTTTGTAATTCACTTTATCATGATATTGGTTAACTAATGCTCTGAGGTCAGGAAGCCCAGTTAGGACAACTGGTAATTAAGTCACATACTCCTCTTTGGCACTGGAGATATAAAGCCTGACCCTGAACAAGGCCATCTGTTTTGTGCTTCATTGCCTCAGAGGTTTCATGCTTGACTGTATTTGCATTGATTTTTGCATAGGTCTTCACCAAGTGATCAGAGCTGGCAAAGCTAGTATGTTAATACTGCAAAGGAATTAAAGGTCAATTTAAAGTTAATCTGGTCTTTTATTTGTAAATTTGGGTGAAATTATTAACAATAATATTATGATAAGCTTTATAGTTCAGAGCCCCATTTCTATCTCTAAAAATTCCAAGTGGAACAAGCATTTGGTTATTTTGACCAGAAACTATAGAGTGTAGGTGGTTCAATTTTACTTACAGAATCTCGGGTGGGTTTTATGCATAAGCACTGAAGTATAGATACTGTACATGATATTAATAAACTCTGTAGCTTGTCTAACATTTTGCATTCTCCCCTCCCACCCCTGTCCCTCTTAATATAATTACCCAGCTTTCCCAGTGTGAAAAAGTAAACTCTGGATCTAATTTTTGAAGTGCTAGTCCTGCTGTCTTGCATCCTTACTGATTTAGTCAAAGATGTGTTGGCGAATTTAGATTCTTCTGCCCCAAAATAGCTTTGCCTCTGGCTCTTCAGTGTCATCACACTTTCCCAAATTATCCTGGCTGTTAACACTGAGAAAAATAACCAGACATATGTTGTAATAATCCTGTTTTTATTTAAAAAAAAAAAAAAAGATGTTACCTCTTTCCAATGGCATCAATTTTGGCAATGGTTGAGGCTCATGAAGAGCTGAGAAGTTAAAGATTTTGTATGTAGCTCCTGTGTGAATTAGTTACATCTGGCACTGGGACCAAACACATTGCTGTCAGGGGCTGGTGGCCCAAGAAGTAAGGGAATGAGTTTGGGGCCAGGGCTACTGCATGTGGTTGGGGAGGCCATAACTGTGAGTGGAGGGAGCCCTTGGTGTGAGTTGCTTTGGCCTAGAGTAGAGGGTTCCCATCTCTGTTTTCAAAAAGGCATCCTGAAAACCAGTGATGTCCCTGGTAGTGTTAAAGAAATAATTATTCAGTGACACTATTAATAGAGCAAATGGGCTCACTGCCCGATGCACACAGAAGCCAATGCTACGGCACTGGCTTTTGAGAAAAGAAAGGCTTTATTGCAAGACTGGCCAGCAAGGAGACGGAGGTGGGCTCAAATCTGTCTCCCTGATTTGGGGTCTAGGGCAAGTTTATGAGCTTGGAGAGCAAGGGAAGGGATTTTGTAATGTTAGGTTGGTAGGGTCTGATTGGAGGGCTTCAGATTTGACCATTTATAGTGAGGTATGCTAAGGATCTTCCTGGCCAATAGACCCCTTGCTTCTGAAAGAGTTGCAGTGATCATGTACTGTTCATGTGCTGGTCATGTCCCAGTCTTCTTGGTTCCAAGGGGAAGAATTGTCGGTTCCAGGTGTTGTTAGAAGTCAAAGCTTTTTCTGTTGCACATACCTGTGCTGCATTGACTTGTAGTTTTTGGCTGTGCTATACCTACAAGGTAACTCAACATTTTGTTACCAGCAGAGTAGGCCCAGTTTGGGCTGGTCCCATGGTTCCTGCAATTGTTAAAGCACAGTAAGGCAGACTTTATTCAGGACTGTTGCCATAAGCATAGAGACCACTGCAATGGGTTTTTGCAGTGAGGGAGAGAGATTGGGCACACCTTCAAATGCAGCACAGGCAAGTGGGAATTTATAGCCAAGGAGTGAAGTGGGAGTCAGTGGAAAATTACTATGAGAGTGCATCAGGGTTAAGGAGGATTCTGCCTAAATCAACTTAACAGGATTCTTGCTGAAGACAGGCCAGGGCACTGGGGGATGGTGGATGATGAAGAACCTGAATAGATATCAAGAATGGGGGTGGGGGGAAGGGTTCTTGCTAAAATGGGATTTTACAAGGAAGTGCACAGATGGACCTAAGAGAGGTTTCAGGAACCTGACTAGTTTGGTCAAACAAAGAATCTTTGTCGGCCGGGCACGGTGGCTCATGCCTGTAATCCTAGCTCTCTGGGAGGCCGAGGTGGGCGGATTGTTTGAGCTAAGGAGTTCGAAACCAGCCTGAGCAAGAGCGAGACCCCATCTCTACTAAAAATTAGAAAGAAATTAATTGGGCAACTAAAAATATATAGAAAAAATTAGCCGGGCATGGTGGCGCATGCCTGTAGTCCCAGCTACTCGGGAGGCTGAGGCAGGAGGATTGCTTGAGCCCAGGAGTTTGAGGTTGCTGTGAGCTAGGATGATGCCACGGCACTCTAGCCCGGGCAGCACAGTAAGACTCTGTCTCAAAAACAAAAAAAAAAAGAATCTTTGTCAAGTGCTTGCTTAGAATATATAACGCACTAGCCTGAGCAAGAGGGAGACCCCATTTCCACAAAAAATGGAAAAATTAGCCGGGCATGGTGGTGCGCACCTATAGTCCCAGCTAGCTACTTGGGAGGCTGAGTCAAGAGGATCACTTGAGCCCAGTAGTGTGAGGTTCTCTAAATTTCTATAGTCTTTATTAAATGTTCTTTTTCTATTTTAAGTATTAAATTTCTACTTTATTCTGACATACTACTTGTAATTTAAAAGAACTCATGCCTATAATTCCAGCACTTTGGGAGGCCAGGTCAGGAGGATCACCTGAGGCCAGCAATTTGAAACCAGCCTGTGCAACATAGCAAGACCCTGTCTGTAACAGCAACAACAAAAAAATTAGCCAAGTGTGGTGGCATATGCCTGTGGTCCCAGCTACTTGGAAGGTTAAGGCAGGAAGATCCCTTAGCCCAGAGTTTGAGGTTGCAGTGAGCTATGATTACACCACTGCACTCCAGACTGAGTTACGGAGTGAGACCTTCTCTCAAAAAAAAAAAAAAAAACAGAAAGAAAAGAAAAGAAGATATCATGGGCCATCAGTTCATTCAGAGCTAGCTACAAACATACAGTAGTACTAGAAAAATAAAGTTTTGCCTGGTATGTGACAAGGGCTTCTTTTTAGAGGTGGCCATCTCACTGGTCAGCCCAGTTTGGATTTGTCTGGTCTCTGTTAAATGTGTCTTAAATAAACAAGTTTCCTTCTTGGCAATGGTGGCAGACATATGGAATGCGGAGTCTGGCAAAAGCTGTGTCAAACTGGGTCATTAAGTTATTTAGCAGCTAACATCTACTGTCACTGTCATGGTTGAGAAAATACCTTCCAACTGGAAAACAAAAGTTATCCTGGGCCACGGGACAAATATAGCCATCACTTATTTTATCAGAAGAAAGGGTGTGCATATTGCTTTTTGGAGCAAGGAACTCTTGCATCCAGATTAATCATTACACTGGCAAAAACAAACAAACAAACAAACAAACAAAAAATACCATAGAGGATGTTGAACTGTTGTGCTTTGAATGCATTTGCAGTTGAGGAAGTTATTCCTGACACCTAAATGTATTCCGTAGCTCTGCCCCATAGCAGACAATCTAATGACTTTCAAAAGTGTTAGTAGCTCTATTTTCTCTTTGTAAATGTGAGTGCTGATTGAAACAAGCCATTGGGAGGTGGAATGTGGCCAATATTCATTTGATTTCTGGAGATGTTTTCTGGATTGGAGCTTATGCAAGTACAATATTCTTATATTCTAATTAGTTATACAAATTAATTATTTAGTTACTAGTGTGAGTAGTTGATTCCTTCCAGCTAATGTGATTATTGGATCAATAAAGTTAGTCCTAGGTCCTGAGTTCTGAGTGAAGAGGTTTTAGCATTAGTTAAGCATAAGAGAATTTGACTTACCTAAACTTGCCATACTTTAGAAAAGGAGCTCTTTCATGTACTTTTGAGTTATATGTGAATTTTTTTTGTCAAGAAGAGGTATACGAAATACTCATGGCTAATATAAGTATGTTGGGGGTATGTGTTGATGGGCTTAGGGGAGAAAATAATCTTTTTTATTTATTTGATTTGCCCAGTGAATCTCTGAAGGGAAAGCACTTGGAAATAAAGGTCAAGGAAGTTAAGGCCTATTAGAGAGTCATTTTACCCAACCTTTGCTTTAGGATTTTAATTAATTAAAACTACTATTTCTGAGAAGTAACAAACCTTTGTTTTTGAATCCTCAGGCCTGTGGAACAGATTCCACTATGTTTTACTTATATCTTGAGGCCTACCCTCAGGGCACAAAGAAATCTAGGCAAATAATCATCTCCTGCTCCACCCTTTCTAAGTCCCTGGGAGTCATGGGAGTGATAGGGTGTGGTGGTGTTGACCTTTATTAAAACATGGTATAAATAGTATAGGGGTAGATGAAAAATAATACATGAAAAGCAAGTTTTTGATTTGTCAGAAGTATGTAAACCCTGATGAACTTATTGGGAGGTCGGCTAAAAGGAGGGGAGAATTTAAGATCCAGAGTTAAAATATTTTGTTGATCCTGTGTGCCAAATGCATTGCGAAAAGCTTTATGTGCAATATCTAATTAAAGACTCGTAACCGTTATACTCATTTAACAGATGAGGAAAATGAGGCTGGCCCAAGGAAGCACAGTCAATCAGGAGCAAGGGCTGGGATCCAGGCTTCCGATGCTGTGCCTCCCCTCACATGCTCTGCCATTGATAGAATGTTCCAGTTGCTGATCACCGAAAGTGGACAGGGAATGGAACTGTTAAATCCAGAATAAAATTAGTTAAGATCTCCTAGGGACTTTTAAAATAAATGGATTGTGTTCATACAGTGATACTGGAATAATTTTAAAGACTAGAAATTGCAGTACGATTTCCAGATACCTTCTTAGTATAATTGCTGAGTTTGGAGATCAAACTTAAAAGGTTTAAGAGACATATCATACAGTCTGTTATAAAATTCAATATCCACCCTAACCACTGTGTGATAGGCTTTTTGTCAAGTTATATGTGTGTGTATATTGTTTTTCTTGCTCTGGACTGTAATAGGACTTCCGGGATGCGGTAGCCCATGCTTCCAGGCAACTTGGGAAACCAGTGATTGAGGACCGGATTCTAAATCAGATCCTGTACTACTTGCCTCAGCTCTATGAGCTCAACCGGGATCTCCTGAAGGAACTGGAGGAAAGAATGTTGAACTGGTAAAAATGGACTGAGTTTTGGACTTCCTTAAAGTTTCCAACTTTAGATGAAGCCATACGGGCCCCATGTGTGACAGAGAGGTGTTGTTCCTTGCATTGAGTTGTTTCGATATATTGAATTTTTTTTTTTTAGTTACCTATAGATTAATTATTTTAGATGGCTAAAAGATCACAACCTTGCACAACAAAACTCAATGCTATAACTTTTTTTTTTGAAATAGGGATTGCAGCCTCAAACTCCAGGCTCAAGCAATCCCCTTGCCTCAGCCTCCCAAGTAGCTGGGACTACAATCATGTGCTATGATGCCTGGCTAGTTTTTCTATTTTTAGTGGAGATGGGGTCTCGCTCTTGCTCAGGCTAGTCTGGAAATCTTGAGCTCAGTTGATCCTCCCACCTCAGGCTCCTGAGTAGCTGGGGCTATAGGTATAAGCCGCCATGCTCAGCTAATTTTTGTTTTAATTTTTTGTAGAGACAAGGTCTTCTAATACTATAATATTAAAATTCTTTGTTAAGAACTGCCTCATAAGCAAGAAGGGCCCAGATTCAGCCAATTTAAATTTCTACAGGTAACCTTTGGTAATTAGAATTTTGCATTTGAAGGAGGATAGTTGACATATTCACATTGGAAAAGTTTTTAAATGTTTTGTCTGTCTTCTGGAACTCCAGGTCATGAAACTCCCTTTGCATTTTTGAAAAGAGGCCACTCATCGAGATCATAGGATGGTAATTTGTTTTGGAAAGGCAAATTTACATAGGTGTGACATCATTGTAGACACTGTAGATTTCAGAATGGGAAGAGAATGCCAAAAGGTTAGTATTGGAAGCTACTTTAATTGGGCTGAAGAAAAACAGTAAGCAGAAGCTTTGGTGACTTCTGTGGAAATATGTAGAAGGAATGGTCTGGGAGGATTGAATTTATTATTGAAGTCCATGGGGAACACAAAATGATTAGAATACAAAATTAGTATCACCTACTTTCATGTGCAAAATTTCTCTCTAAGCTTTCCTTATATATAAACCAGAAAAATATGTCTGCCTGCTTTGGAAATATCATCATGCCTCTGCATGTTGGGAAGATAAGGTAGATAAGCAATTAATACTTAGCTGTCACCTAAGGATAAAATAACACGCAATTACAGACTAAGGAATGACTAAAGGTAGTTTTTAAAAGTCATGATAAAAAATAAAATGTAATTACAAAAAATATTATTGTATATACTTTGTCATTTTCCTCTTACAAAAATTACCTTAAGAAAAAGATGTTTTAAAAAACAAAAAGAAACAAAGAATTATTTTAAAAATTAATCTGAGCCAGGCATGGTGGCACTCGCCTGTAGTCCCAGCTGTTAACATTTGGGAGGCTGAGGTGGGAGGATCACTTGAGCACAGGAGTTTGAGGCTATAGTGAGTTATGATCTTACCAGTCTGGGTGACAAAGCAATACCCTATCTCTAAAAAATAAATTAATTAAAATATAAAAAAATTTAAAGATAATTAAAATCTGGAGAGACTGCCAGAAGCAGAGAGGAGTAAACGCATTTCCACGCTCAGGGACCTCCTGACTCACTGGAATTCCAGCAGTGCAGAGTAAGTGCTTGTTTCCTGCAGGCCCTGGGGTTGCGAGAAAAGCTCAAATAAAAATGGAGAAGGTCAGAGCTGTGATTTTCAGCACTTAAGGAAAAGCCCTGTTGTCATACCACAAGGGGGTTTCGGCCTAGGTCCATTTGCTTGTGACACAAAGATCCAACTATTGAGACAACCTGGATTGCCAAGGAAGAAAGGAATTTTTAATAGGACAGACAGATGTCTTAGAAAGCTGCCTTAAATCCTTGTCTCTGACTAATGGAGATAATGGGCTTTTAAGGTGGGGCCATGTGCCTTGGGGCAGGTTGAGGAGGATGGTGAGTCCTGGTGTCAGGAAATCATCCATCATTTCTGGGAAACAACTCCAAAGGTCAAGTAGTTAATATTACAGCCAGACACAGGAGTGGTGGCTCAGGCCTATAGTCCTGGCACTCTGGGAGGCCAAGGTGAGAGGATTGCTTGAGCTCAGGAGTTGGAGACCAGCCTGAACGAGAGTCAGAACCCATCTCTACAAAAAATAGAAATATTAGCTGGGCATGGTGATGTACGCCTGTCATCCCAGCTACTTGGGAGGCTGAGGGAGGAGGATTGCTTGAGTCCAGTAGTTTGAGGCTGCAATGAGCTATGATGATGTCACTGTACTCTAGCTAGGGAAACAGAGGTGAGGCTCTGTCTCCAAAAAAAAATGGGAGGGGGATTATAGAAAACACATAGGGGTCATTGAAATTTGTTCATGGAGCGGGTTACATAAAGATGAGGATGCTGAGAATAAGAATGAATTGAAGACACATCTCGGCCACTGTGCTCTTCAGGGGCCAACCCTATGAGAGGGATGCACTCCCCAGGAGCAAGACTGGCTCTCTACTGTCTCTGCACCAGGTTCTGAAAACAGAATCTTGACTCTCATTCCCATTGAGAGACTAAGGAGTATCACAGTTCCATGTACCCATGGCTCTTCCACTTTCCCAAACCCAGTGTCGTGAACATAACATTGGAAATTAAAAGGGCAAAAAGAAAATTAATTGAATTGGCTTAAATAGATAAGTATATTTAGGCAAGCAAGTGTTATAAAGAGGATTAAATATATTTTTGCTTGTACTAAAAGTTTCCTCAAGTTTAGATTTGTAGATGTTCTATGTTAAAATATTAAGCATTCGTAAGAAACAGACTAAATTGACGAAAGGGACAACTAAAACTACAGTTATGGGAAAAGCTCCACCATTACTGACATAATAAAATTTTTTTAATCCTTGGATGAAATATTCTGTATTTATTAAAATATTTTTCTCTCAGGGATCTTTGAGTTAAGACATGTTCTTTGGTATTAGTAGACTTTCAGAAGTAACATTTTTCCATTGGCTTTTAATAACAATTGATGAAATGTTTCATTTTCACATTCAGTAAGATTTTATGGTATATATCTATGTGCCAGTCTGTGCTCTAAGTATGCAGAGGATATCACAGTGCACAGAATAGACAAGGGTTTTGCTCTAGGAAGAGCAGACATTGAATGGAGGAAGGACCAGATAAATAGACAAGAAAAATATCAAAAGCAGTTTGTGATCTGCAGAGACATAAAATAGGATACTGCGGTTGTAAGTGAAGACCGGGTGGCCAAGGAAGGCCCTCCAAGAAGGTGGAGCATTTAAACTGACATCTGAATGAAAAAAAAGAGCATCCAGGGTTCCATATTTCCAGGCAAGTGGAACCATAAGTAAAAGACTGCAATATGGGAATGAACTCTGTATGTCCAAGGATTATAAGGTAGTTTGTTTTTATTCTAAGTGAAATATAGAGGGCCATTGGAAGTCACATAATATACACATTTTTTAGATTTCTGGCTATGCCGAAGAATAGGGTGGAGAAGGTAAGAATGGAAACAGGGAGACCTGTCATCAGGCTGGCAGCGTTCAGGCAAGATGTGCAGGTGGCGGTAGAAATAAATGGTGAAGAGTAAGCATTTTGGGATATATCTTAGAAAAAGAGAAGAAAATGTAAGCTAATGGCTGGGATGTGGGACTCTGCTCATCATTTGGATGTGTTTTGGATATGGTAATGACTCTCTTTTTATAATTTTGTGTATCCCCTCTCCATAGGACTGAACAACAGAGAATTGCTGATATCTTTGTAAAGAAGGGACCCTATCTGAAAATGTATTCTACATACATCAAAGAATTTGATAAGAATATAGCTTTGCTGGATGAACAGTGCAAGAAAAACCCAGGCTTCGCTGCCGTCGTTAGAGAATTTGAGGTATATCCTACCATCTAATGTTGAGCACTTCTTTTTCTTTCTTTTTGTTTTTGAAACTTTAATAATTTGCAGTCATTAAAAACAAAGCTTACAAACAAAAAGATGCTAGAATATAATCCCTTCAAAATCAAAGAAGGAATTAAACAAATTAAATGGTGAGAACTTAAGCAGTGTACAGTATTTAATTTTGAAAAGCTGTTATTGCACATTGGAATATTTTTTTACTTGGAAAAATATTTTGATGGAACTTTTTAAAAAATTCTGGTAAAATACACATAACATAAACTTACCATTTTAACCATATTTAAGTGTACAGTTCAGTAGAGTTAAATACATTGACATTGTTGTGCAACCGAATCTCCAGAACTCTTTTCATCTTGCAAAACTGAAACTCTGCAGCCATTAAACATTAACTCTCCCTGCTCTCCTCCCTCCCAGCCCCTAGCAACCACCATTCTCCTTTCTTTCTCAATGAATTTGATTACTCTAGGAAACGTGTCTTATTTTTAACTTAACCTTTCCTTTTACTCTTATAACTAATCTGCAGTGATGCATGGGAAATATAATTTGTTTCCCTTTAGGTAAATAAATAACACAGTTTCAGTGTCAAAGTTAAGAAAGATTAATAACCTGTTCATAGCATGTGTCAGCCAAAGCTTTGTATTTTGACTCAAAACTATGAAGGTGCAAGCTTGATTTGATTAGGGATATAATGTAACACATTTTTTTTTTTTAAAGAAAATCAGTTTTCTTCACTATTTTTTTTATTTTTTTGTGAGATAGGGTCTTGCTCTGTTGCCCAGGCTGGAGTACAGTGGCATCATCATAGCTCACAGCAACCTCAAATTCCTGGGCTGGAGCCATCCTCCTACTTCAGCCTCCCAAGTCGCTGGGACTACTGGTGCATGCAACCACACTCAGCTAATCTTTCTATTTTTTTGTAGAGATAAGGTCTTGCTATTGCCCAGTCTTAAGTCCTCTCCACCATTATGGGGTAAATATTGCATTCCTACATTTTAGAACTTATTTTTTGTTTTGAAACCAAAAAGATCAGCGAATTCTAGTCATACTAAACTAGAAACGAAGAGTTTTAAAATATTACAGTATTGCCGATATCTAATTTGTGCAATGTACAAATAATTAAACTTTCAAATCATTTGTGCTCTTCTTCTTTTCCTCTACTGTGATGTCTTTATTCCTTCAAAAAACAACATGTGATACTGTTATGGCAACTGACAATTGACCCAGGTTTTGGTTGGAGTCTAGTGAGTTGTTCTGTTACCTTGGCAACAAAAGAAGACAGGGAGCCATAAGACAGGGAGAGTTAGTTATCTTGATTAATGCTGCTTGAATGAAAGATACTTTCTAAGTATATATTATCATTATAATTTTACAATTATTCTGTGTACCAGGCCATGGAGATGCATATTTAGAAAAAGATAAAAGTCTGAACAAATCTGAAAAAAACTTACCACCAACCTGAGCTGTGTGAAGAAACATAAGACATTTTATCTTGGCCCTTAGGATGCAGAGACATTTTCGCCTGGCCTTTTTGATGTCACCTCACAATAAACTCGTAGGTTGCAAAATGGGGGTGAGACTTAGGAATGGGCAGAGATGTCTCTTGTACATACTAAGGAAATGAGCTTTAAAGGTTGAATCAAATGTCTTTATAATCAAGTCAAAATGTGGTTTCTATATACACTGTGTTCCTATATACACTGTGATTTGGGAGCTGTCTTTTATAAGGTCATTCCTCTGAACATGATTTTGACATCTTTCAGCCTTGCTAGAGAAGATATCTAGCAAGGCTATTTTTCAGGTTATCTTTAATTTCTGCACTTCTCCCCACCACCACCCTGTTATTATTATGAGTGTATTGACCACAAGGCTCTGGTCGTTATTTGAATTTGGTCACTGGTAGTTTTATTTCTGCTGCCTTATTTGGGGGGCATTGGGGTTTGTTTGTATTTGTGAATACATTGGCAGATGCTCCCCTAAGTGAGAGCTGCTGTGTAGGGTGGGCTCTAACCATCCTAGAGTTCAGTCTGTGACTACCACGCTCTGTAAACAAGTTTGCCCTGGGAGCAAGTGATTTCAGAGACCTACCTACAGGAGAGGGTAGGCTTGGTGGTGAATCTGGCTAGGGTTTCACTCTCAATGTAACTAATAGCTGGGCGTTAAAATAAAAAGGAGCTTCCCTAAGAGTCCCCTTCCATAGTTGCTGGCTGTTTAAAGTTTGGCTTCCTAAGCACTTGAATCAGGGTCCCTTGCTTCTTAGAAAATGCTTGTGTTTACTTTAGATGCCTTCTCCTTTCAGATGAGCCCACGCTGTGCTCACCTGGCCCTCAAGCACTACCTCCTCAAGCCGGTTCAGCGGATCCCCCAGTACAAGCTGCTGCTGACAGGTGGGCTTTCCAGCAGTTTACCAGGCACCCAGTGGTTTATCAACCAACCAACTCTTATTGCCCTTATGAAACTCTGCCTTTCCTAAGAATGCCTCTCTTTATATGACTACAGTAACCACTTTGCCTAGTATGTGGATTTTTTTGTTTTTTAAGAGACAGGGTCTCACTCTGTCACCCAGGCTGGAGTGCAGTGGCGTGATCATAGCTCACTGCAGCCTCGAACTCCTGGGCTCAGGTGATGCTCCCACTTCAGCCTCCCAAGTAGCTGGGACCGTGAGCACATACCACCGTACTTGGCCAGTATCTGGATTTATAGATTGCTTGTATACCTCACTTATACATTGCCTGAACTGAACTGCTTTCAGTTCTTTGATATCCCTGTGTGCATTCTCACCTCTGGGCATTCAAACCTGTAGTTCTATCTGCTCAGAACATCTTTCGTAAGCCCAATTCCACATCCTTGCGTTATTTTACCTGTTTAACATTGTTAATCCCTAGAAGGTATTTTCCCAGCTACTCAAGAATGGGGTTTAGAGGGTCACTCTCACATATTTGTATAGCACTATCATGGCCCTGGTTACTTACTTCAGTAGTTTTTTATAAGGATTGATCGATGAGCCAAATGTGGACACTGCTTAGAATAGTGCTTTAATCATAGTAAGTTCTAAATAAATATTACCTGCTAGTAGTAGTAGTAGCAGTATTCTTATCCTTACCATTATTAATACTTTGTTGTCATGATTATCATCTGTCTACATCTTTTACTGGACTGTAAACTTCAAGATAAAGAGCTGATTTACCACTGTTACAATTTCAGAAAACTAATGTAGTCTCAGTACCAAGCATAGTTATCCAGCACATACTACTAGGTCCTCTGGAATACTTGCTGAAATGTGTTGGATGTGCAGAGACTTCATATGCTTACATAATGTGTGTTAAAAATTGTGTTGAAATGGACGAGAACATCGAAATGCCACCACTTTAAAGTCAATCTGTTGTGATTATCTGTAAATAGATTGTGAGATACTCGGTTCCTATAACTGCCCTTAAGAGAGAGTGTACGTGCTTTTCTCCTTTACTTAATCACTTTCCCCTAAACCAAGAGTTATCTTGGAGGCAGTAGGTGGATCCTGGAAAACCCGGATTTCCCCCTTTCCCTTTAGGCCAAGGCTTCAGGCCTTTCAGGCTTGCCTAGTAAAAGGCAGGCTGCTGAGGAGGAAGGCCCTCCTTTCAACCCCAGTACTGGGCCACCCTAGGTGTATCAGGTACTTAATTTGAATTTCTAACTGGGACTCAGGCACTAGATTTCTCTCTGGAATGACATGCAGCAAACCAAATAATTTGAGGATATCCTGTCCATCTGTACTTTTTTCCCTCTGCCTTTGGCAGAGATTTAGAATACACAGGACAAAAGGAAGTACTGATACACATGTTGTGTTTTTGCTAGATAAATTCAATGCTCTATCATAAACCAGCTATTGAATGGCTTAGGCTGTTTCCACAGCTGTCAAATCGAGTACTGTTTTTAGTGGGAAAAGACAGCCATGGTCTCAAATATGAGAAGAATGGAGCAAGAATCTGAAATTTAATGTTAAAAAGAATTTTGACATATTTATTTACATTTTTTATCCATTACTATGACTGATCTAAGTAGTAAAAAAGGTACACACATTTAATTTAGGTTTCATGCTGAGTTTGTTTTTGATTGAGAAAAGGTGAAATGGCAAAAGCAAGTTTTAGAAATTCTCTTGAAGAAAGCAGATTTCATTTGTTTTATAATACCAGTGCCATGTGAGGTTGGAGTTATTGTTAGTTTTGAGCTGCCTCTTGTTTAATCTTAAACCAGTTTCCTTTCTTTCTTAAACTGGAAATCTTTTTCATTATTATTTAAGTGACACACGTTATATATTGTCAACCCTCAAAAATTGCAGATTTGTTGAATGTCACAATTGATGGGTAGTTTGTTCTGGGTCACAAAGTCAGGACTAAAATTAAAGAAAGATCATAGGCTTTGTATTTTTCATACTGTGCCTTTTCCTCCATTGATTCAAATTCTTCCCTTCCTCCAGGCCCGACCCAAAGGCCTCCATGCTCTTTGAAGCCATCTCTGATTGCTCCAGTTCTCCTTGTCCCTTAGTTATTAGTACCATGTGACTTAGCAAATAACTTGTGTGATACCTGGTGAGATTGCTAATAGTTAATTTAAAATGTTGATTTCTTAATTTGATTATAAACTCCTTGAGGTCAGGGAGTATATCTTATAATTTGGTGCCCCCTAAAATATTTTTTATTTTATTTTATTTTTTTATTTTTAGTAGAGATGAGCTCTCACTCTTGCCCAGGCTGGCCTCAAACCCCTGAGCTCAAGTAATCCTCCCACCTCAGCCTCCCAGAGTGCTAGAATTACAGGCGTGAGCCACCACACCTGGCCTGCCCCCTAAAATATTTGGGTCAGTTTTAGATATCTTGAAGCTGTCCAGGAAATAATTTTGGTTGATTTTAAGCTAGGTTTAAAACATACCATTAGCCAAAATGTTTTTGCTACAAAGAACAACATGAGACAGAATTTTAGAGATCTAAGCTACATTGGAGATGAGGTTGTCTCCTAAAAAGGAAGACACATGCAGAAAGGTGAAATGTCATGTCCAAGGCTACACAAGTAATATTACTTGAAGCACCTATGGTCTTATAATCCTGAGGACATATGGGGGTCAATACTAAGGGTTTGTTTTTATTTTTATTTAAAATTCTGGGCCGGGCGTGGTGGCTCACGCCTATAAACCTAGCACTCAGGGAGGCTGAGGTGGGAGGATCACTTGAGCTCAGGAGTTCGAGACCAGCCTGAACAAGAGTGAGACCCCCGTCTCTACTAAAAATAGTAAGAATTAGCCAGGTGTGGTGGCTCAATGCCTGTAGTCCCAGCTACTCAGGAGACTGAGGCAAAAGAATTGCCTGAGCCCAGGAGTTTGAGGTTGCTGTGAGCTAGGCTGATGCCACGGCACTCTAGCCAGGGCAACAGAGCAAGACTCTGTCTCAATAAATAAATAAATAATAAAATAAAATTCCGATTTTCCAATACTCGTTTTTATACTGGATCTTAGCCAAAAGGCCGAGAAGCAATAACAATACTCGTTTTTGTGATGTTCTGATTGCTCCCTACTTTGCAAGATATTTCTACTGTCACTATCAAAAGTGTCCCTGTCTATGCACTTAGATTTTTAAAAGTTGGATTTTAAGTCTTAAGTTTACATCTCTTCAAACATGTTAATTAACTGGGTCCCCATCTTTGGCTAAACAAGCTCAAATGATTTAATCTTCCCAACAACCTTGTAAGGTAAGTACTTTTATTTCCATTTTAGAATTTGGAGTAATTCCAAATGCGTAGAATATACAGGAGCAGAAAGGAGTGATAGTTTATTTGAGGCAACTCCTGAACAGCTTTGATTTATTAATGAGTTTCAGGCAGAGAAGGGGAGGGATTCCTGCCTGACTTGTGTAAATAAATTTATGCCCACCTTGGTTCTTTAGGCTTGGAAGATTGAGAACTGCATAGATGATCAGATAAGATGGTTTCTTTTGGAATCCTTTTGGAGAAACATTAGTGGAAATCCCCAGATACTGCAGTCCTGCCACTGCTATTCAAACAACTGCCCTATTGTTTTGCAATGTTTTTTTTTTTCTCACTTGATTTGGGTTTGTATAGGGTATTCTACTTAAGCTCTCTCTTCCTTCATTGTAGTAAAAAACTTCTACCTAGGCTGGGTTATCAGAATTTATTAACATTAGTGTCACTAAAGTTGGTATAAAAACCCCCCACTGCTAAATTTGACTGGCTAAAAACAAAATAAAACAAAGACAAACAAACAAACAAACAAAAACTTCCACTTCAATTCTTGGTAGTTTTTTTTTAAGGTCAACTTAAAACAGGATCTAAGGCAGTCATGGTGGCTCACACCTGTAATCCTAGCACTCTGGGAGGCTGAGGAAGGAGGATCGCTTGAGCTCAGGAGTTGAGACCAGCCTGAATAAGAGCGAGACCCCATCTCTACCCAAAATAGAAAAAATAAGCCAGCAAGGTAGCACACTCCTATAGTCCTGGCTACTCGGGAGGCTGAGGCAGGAGGATTGCTAGAGCCCAGGAGTTTGAGGTTGCTGTGAGCTAGGCTGACGCCACTGCACTCTACCCAGGGCAACAGAGTGGGACTCTGTCTAAAAAAAGAAAAGAAAAGAAAAGAAAACACAGGATCTAAGAGAATGTATACAGTTGTGTAATAAAATGAGTGATTTACTTAATTTAAGCCTAAAAACTTATAAATTTTGCTTCCGTATTGGCCACTCAAGGCCAGTTTATCAGGCCAAATCTTTAAATCTGTTTGGGGCTCAGATCCTATTTGAAGTTTCCCTCTACCTCTGGTTCCTTCTCTTTCCATTTTCTGGTTATAGTCCAGGCCAGGCCTGTCTAAACTCATGCCAAATTATAGCAGTATCTTCCTGCTGGTCATGCTAATGCTTATCATTGCCCCATGTAGCCTAGCACAATGTTGCTTAATTTCTCTTCCAAGGACACACTTTCATTCTGCTCATTAGAAAAGCTGAAAACCTCATTCACAGTATAAAAAACCTCAATGAATAACCTAGAATCACGTGAGCCTTATTTTATTTTCCTTTGCTTCTAGCTGTAGTAGGTTTCTCACAGGCTCCTGAAACCTGTCCTTCCAGGCCAGATCCTATCTCTATTAATCACTTGCTCAACAAATATCTATGAGTCTACCCTGAGCTAGACACCCTTTTACACTGGGAACAACACATCGGGGCCTCCTACCCTGAAGGAGTTTCCATCTTCCTCTTTTGAGGCAGTTGCTCAACCACTCAGGCTCCCACTGAGCTTCTTCTCAATTCTTAAAAATTTTATTGATCTTGCCACTTGTTGACTGAATCGTAGTTGTTTAATTAATTCACAGCTCTATGTCATGTCTTCTCAACTGGGTCGTAAATCTATT